ATCCCGACAAGGCGATGCGCCACCAGTATACCTTGTTCGTCGTCGACACGGCGAGGAATGCGACGAGGAGGACGACGATGGGCACGAAGAAGGAGAGGGCCGTGATAGGGACCGGAGTAGGCTATTTGCAGCTCTGGCTCTCCATTGAGGAGAGTGACTGCTCTGTTACCTACGAAATGCTGAGGACACGTCAGTACTTATGAACGAGCTTCAGGACGGAAGACAGCCCAGCGCACCATGGACCAGATCGCAATCCCTCCCATCGAGATGGCTGCGCCACATAGAAGCATGCTGGCCTGGATTAGCGGAAGTATCCCATAGCAGCTTGCGCACGGAGAGACTGACTGGTTGTAAAGCCCTCTTCGAGACGTCCGCCGGTTGATCAACTCAAGTGTTGATCCGGCTCCGATGAGACTGACGATATAGCTGAGCGCGAGAAGGCCAGCATTTACTGAGAAGGGGACGACTTGCCCTAGGTAAGGGGTAAGCTCTTCGGATGATGTTGACATCGCGAGCGGCGTTTAGCGGAGATTCGCCCAAGCTTTGTGATGAACTGAGACAAACTGGAGGGGTGGCTCTAGCGCCGATGGAGTCTTCGGTCGCTCGACAAGCTTCGAACTGAAGGATTGCTGTATTGCCGCGATATCCGCCGGTTAGAAGCGCTCTGCCATCGTAGCCCGCGTCTTCTGAGCTTCGGTGCGAGTGTGGAAATCGCATGAAGTGGGTTGGAAATTGAGAGCTGGCGGATGTCATGCACTTTGGATTGTCCGTTCAAGATTCATGGGCACGAGAAATCTTGACATCTTTCTCAGCCGTTCCCTCCCGCATTGCCAAGGGTCCCTCGACGACTTGAGATGGCAGATGCAGGACGGGCAAGCAGGCTACTGTGTTATCAGCGGGACTGGAACGAGAGATTAGCCGCCGGCGCCGTGTGGCTTCGGCCCTTTGCCCGATCTTAGGCGACGACTGGGGATGAATGCGCTGGCAGATTCGAGGCGGTATTGACCCGCGTGCGTAAACTTCATGCAAGGGACCACACAGAACCAGTTGCATTGAACCCCGCCGATCATCGCCGTTCCTGGACCCCTGCAGCGATGGCACCCAGATAAATCTATGCATCCCTGGTTTTCAGCTGAGTTCTTCTTGCCATTGTGGCGCACACTGGTGACCACCCTTTCCACCAAGCTCATCCAGGCGCCGAACTGCGGCCAGGTCGGCCTCGGTCATCACCAGACGCGACAGCTTGCAACCAATCGTTTAGCGCCGCCAGATACGACTTGCTTGATCTATTCTGACCCAAGTTCACCAAATACAAAATCGACTGATGAATGAAAGGCAGGAAGCCTTGTGCAAAGAAAAGAGATGAGCATCAGGCTCTCGAGGAAGTAGGGTTGGGAGCACTCATTCAGCTCATGCAAGAGCAGGGGCAAAGCCGGATCTGCCAACAGGCATGCCCCCCAATCTGCCTTGGCGCAGCGTCCTTTTCAGCCATTTCAGGGATCGTTTCGCACCTATTATCGAGCGGATAGTTGGCTAGGTAGCGGAGCACCTCGTTCGGCACTTGCGCTGTCCGCTCGAGAGCCTTCGCGATAAGCCGTTCGAAGCTCGCCCCGAGCCGGAGGAGGCGGTCCTGTTCAATAATTTCTGCATCGCCCCGGAGTTTGGCGCGCGCTGCAGCAGATAGGGCGCTCAAGCTCGTCCGGAAGTGCACGCCCATGTCGCTCCCGGCGAGGTGTCTCGCCCAGCCCATCTCGCGAACCCAGGTCGACTCGAAGTCAGGCCCTTGCCGGCTGTCAACTATCCGCCGCGTCTCCTCTAGCTCGGCCGCCAGGCTTTCTTCGTATCTCGTAAGACGGTCTGCTAGCAGACGTTGAGGGGAGCCGGAGGCGGTGGACCTAAGGCTAGTCGTCCCGTCAGGTCCTATGCTACCCTGTACTTGCTCGACTACCCAGTACCGAGCGCGGCTTCCTCGCGATAAGATCTGAAGTCGTACCTCCTTCCAGGTACTGTCGTGTCCTGACTGCGAGCGGTGGACCCTGATCAGCTTCCGGCTCGTCGTAAGGAAGCGGCAGTCCGAGCAGCTGAGGCCGTCGATGATTGGTAGCTGCTCCACGTAAGGCGAACCGTCGGTGGGTACCGGGACGGCCTGTGGGTTGGCGATCGGCTCGGCCGTGTAGCTGTAATCGAGGATCTGTCGCATCACCTCGCCCTTTAGGCGGTGGATCCGCCAGAAGTGCAGCTGTACGCCGTCGCCTGGCCGAATCCCGACCCTACACGACATGCAGATCAGGACCCGGTGCTCCGGACCACCGCTACTCCCGCCGCCGCCGCCGGTGCTCGCAGACCAGCTTAGCAGACCGACCTGGCCCCCAGTAACGCCGCCGTCAGACTCGTAGCGCACTGCCATAGCCGATAAGCTGGTGCTTATAGTCGTCATTGCCACGGCCGAATGTATTGTAGCTCAACCAGTTTAGCGTATTTTGCAAACCAGGAAATACGTATCGCCTACTTCCCTCTCTCACTCTCTCCCCTCAATTACTCCCTCTCGCGCAGCCCCCTTTAACCCCTAGTCCTTACCCCAGGTCCCGGGGTTTGAGGCAGGGGGCGCGCACCCCCTGTTTCCCCTGGTAATGACTGTCATGGTAGTGGTCGTCACTCGAGCTAACCCCCAGCCCGCTGACTCAGCCTTGACTATGGGCTTACCCCAACTTGCCCCTGGTAGTGACGGTCACTACCGGGCTGAATGATGGACAGGCTGCTGCTGCGGTTCATTGTACCTGCTGTCTGTGCCTGTTGTTCTTGGGGCTACTACTGTACTTCTCCTGTCGCGTGCGGGGGGGTCGTGGGTTAGCTGACCTTTTGCTGGCCGGGATGAACTCAACCTGGGGTACAGGAATGAGCTCAATGGCCCGTGCGCCCGCGCCCCCTGCCCACCAGGAGTGCGCGAAAAGTGAGCGCTTCCCGGCCGGGAATGATGGTCAGGGGATCGCCGAGGGGCCGACGACGTCGTCGGGCCAGCCGCCGTCGCTGACGGGGGCGGCGGCGTTCATGCTCAGCCAGGGGGCCACGGTGCTGGCCTTGCGGCCGGCGTGGGCGAGCTGGATGGCGATCTTCTGGCCCTGGGAGTGCGCGAACTCGGTGATGCGGGCGAGGGGCGCGATCTGGCTGTCCTTCCACAGGCCCATATCCTGCGGGGTGATGCGGCCGCGGGCCTGGACACCCGTGGCCTCGACGAAGGTGAGCCCGGGGTCGCGCTGGAGGATGCCGCCAAGGTGCGTGAGGTGCCAGTCTGTGGCGTGGCCGTCGTCGGCCGAGTACTGGCTCAGCGGGGAGAGCCAGACGCGGTTGGGGAAGGTTGTGCCGCGGAGGGTGAGGGGCGTGAAGAGCTTGGGGATGGCGTCTCTGTCTGGCCTCTTGGAGCCCAGGCCGGTGCCGGCCGGGGGGATCTGGGCGGGTGTGAAGTATGAGACGCCTTCCGCGGGGACGTTGCGAATGTCCTCGTCGGCGGACATGGGCGAAGAAGAGCTGCCCATGGCGGTGGTGGTTATCGTACTAGCGCGGTGAAAAAGAAAGAAAGTCCTAAATTGAGAGATCTCGAGGGAGGTTGCTGCCGGACACTCTTTGCCCCAGGACGAGGAGGAGGCCCAGGGCGATGAAATATATGGCATGAAATATAGAAAGGCCTCGGCACTGGGACGGGCGGAGCGTCAAACTACGGTCACGGGACAATTATGTAAGCAAGGACCTTAGTCATCAGGCAGGGAGGCCAACACTCATGTGTCGGCCTTGCGACAGAAGGCTGTCGGCGACCCGACGACACGACGTCGGCGCTACAAGCATACGATGAAGGACAAAGGCGCATATAGCCAGGAGGATTTCCTAGACAGACAGTCATTACCTTTGCACTTCAGCGATCAATCTAAGTACCATTCTCACCCGCACTTGGACTAGTCACTCAATTGCCGAGACTGGTATCTCTTCCCAGAGACACGACAACCCCAGAGAGAGAACGACATTCGACCAGTTGTGATATTGCTTGAGCTTTACCTACTTCGCAGAACAGCAACCCCGAAGCCCGGCCCGACGGTTGACCCCGGAGGCCCGATCGTGACATTTGTATTATAAGTTTTCAAAATTATCTTGTGTAGAATAAGCATTACGTATTACTTAGGTTCGAGACCAGGTGGGCTCGCATCACGCCTTATACACTTACGTGGAAATGTTTATACGACAGTTGCCGTCGCGTGCTTCGCCGCTCTCTATAGAATTGCCGCCTCCTCTGTAAGCTCTCTTGGAGCGGTTGGATATCTTATGCCTATTTGGAGCTTGCTAGCAATTCATCCTTGCAATATCGCAAAGCTCGAGTTAGTTTCTATTACTTAAAGTGGGTTAACATAATCGGCGCTTTCTTCATAGCGAGCCGTTTCCCATAATACGAAGTGAAAAGGATAACCGAATTTAATACTTGGCTACAGTTGAAGAACCATCATAGCTAAGATTAATTAGCACGGCCGGACTTCCGTTCCACTGTGCCATGTATAAGGAAATAGCGGCAAAGTTAAACATGCTCTCCTTTATCTCTTCTCGCCTCTCCAACATCCGCGAACATTACTCGCCGAAAGTTGGAGAGGCTCCTATCTCTAGAAGGATGATTAACCATCTCCGCGAGGACGTAAGCCGGCTTGCCATCGCGATGAGTGAGGTTGTTCTTATGGATATGCTCGGCGCCCATGGTGATGTTAAGGAGCAGCTCCGGTTTATCCCGACCGTGTATGATGTTGATTACAGTAGCGAAGGCTTTATGCTTCTATCCTATAGCCTCTATCGCTCGCGTGCTATTGTCTCGGGGAATGCTCTCCTTCCACATCACCTTGCTCACGGGGCCTATGCATCCTGGCCTACCTACCCTTGGGATGTGTGACGCCGAAGGAACAGGTGGCGCGAGTGTGCGCCCGGACGCCGATAATTGGTCACACGAGGTCGGCTGGGTGTGCCTATTTCCTGCACAGTAGTTTCCTCATCGAGAGGACTTTGCGAATCGGCATTGCCTTCTCGAGGCAGACGATCTCCTGATTCATCCTCCATGGACAGTTGGGGCGCGACGACAAGGCAGAGTGCTGTCTATCCCAGGCAGGTCGCCACCGTGGATGTGCGGATTCGTTCACTCCTCAGCGGAAGGACAGGGACCACGCGTTTCGGACATTCTAGCTAACGCATGAAAAGCAGCAGACTTCGGTGAAGGCGAGACTGGGCGGAGGGACGAAGGGTCAGGGGTGCAGGAAGGGGGTAAGTGTGAGGGCAGGAGAGGAGAAGCGGCCAATCGGATGGCGTAAAGGCACGGCTGAATATCCATCACATGAAGCAACTGACTGTGACTGCGCCGAGATGCATGAACTCCGCCCTGAGGGAACGACGACCGGCAGTGAAGACCTCGAGGGTCTCCCCTGATGCAACCTCAGGAGGTGGCAATCAGCTCATCTGCCTTGCAAGTAACCTAACAGGAGACAGCCCTCATGCACGTTTCTAGCCGCTAGTGTGGCTGTCGTCACCTTTTCACATCGTTCCGCTCCTGTAATTCGCCGTTGCCATGACTCCCTCCATCCGCTTCCGCCGAGTCTGCCTTGACGATGCAAGACTGCGCGGGTCTGCTTTGTGAAGCTGCATAGACAAGACCACATATGGGCGCCATGTGGAACCTTGGCACGCCTGCCGAGATGGGGAAAGACCCAGGGAGCCAGACAAAGCGGTGACAAGCACAGCCCTTCCAGCAAAGGCTGTCTGGGCTCGACGTTCCAAGTGGAGGCAGCCCATAGTTGACAGAAATCAGCCCAATGTGTCTTGCGCAACATGTCTAGCTGAATCAAGTTCATACCTCCGTTCGTCGTCTCCTAGGCAGAGGCGTCAGCCGGACATGGCACAGACTTGGATTGGACCGAGAAGCCCCTGAAGCACCAGCCGTCTGCGGTACAGGGAACGCCGGAGAGGCGAGGACCCGGGATTCTCAGAGGCAGCCGGACGACGCTGTCCCTGCGCCCTCAGCCTGCATTCTGTCCTCGCGTAACTCTTGAGGCGGCCTCCCTTCCGTCGTGGTTGGTAACTGGGAGTGGCAGTAGAAAAGCGTGCCATGACCAATTCCTGGAGCCATTGACGCTTGCGAACCTGGACCTTCACGGGGCCGTACTCCCACATTCACAAAGCTCCCCGAGCAGCAGTTTTCCATCAACATTATCCGAATTCTCGCAGTGTCTGGGCGATTCTATGCGGCGATATTGCTGCTGGACGTTGAGGATCTCCAGCCGGACTTTTTCCGCCGAGCCGGATCCATTGGATAGCAGCGCGCCTGCCTGCGTCGCGTCTCCGTCCACCCACGCAACCACGAACGCCCATTATCTTCTCGACCACAACCCACTCCCTCGTTGACATCAGATACCAAACTCCCGCATGTGCAGTCATCACTCTTCGCGTTCTCGTTGCTCTTCTCGACGTCCCTGGTGAATAGCGCATGTTGATTGGTTGGTCGGGGGCCCACTTCTGTACCATGAAGCTGCTGACTAACGGTGCAGGGGCTGAGAATCGGGTGCGTCGGTGGCTGGGCGGCAAATTCCCCACCGCCCAAAATGTCGTGTCGCGCGACCTCCCTCGGCCTTCCCCGTCCTTCTCACCATCGCATTCCGTCGACCATGGCAGACCAAGCGCGGTCGCAGATCATCAAGGAGAACCCCATTGGCAAAGGCCTTGATGCCTTCCGCGCTTCATTCGGTCCGATCTGCGAAGACGCGAGCGTCCCCTGCACTCCGGACTCGCTAGATCGGCTCGGCCAAGAAGGTAAGAACGACACCACAGCTTCGGCCCAGTGTGCCCCTCTAATCATCGTGCAGATCTCCAGAATCTTGTTCTCGACCTGCTCTTCGCTTTACGAAACCTCTCCGCGGTTCGCTTCCTACGATCAAAGGCCGGCCATGGGACCCTTCGTAACGATCTCCTCAAACTTAACTCGGCTGTCAGCTCCGACGGCTTCGATCTCGTCCGCGTCAAACCTCTCCTAAAAGCAGCCATCGCCGATGACCCGGACGACGCAGTTATCTGGAATGAAGTCTACCACGCCGTCACCGAATCCACTCCGCCGCCCCGACCGACAGCATCATCCCTCCACCAAACCCCTTGGCTGCACAACACGAGCAGCTTCGCGAACTCCTCCGAAGGCCGCAAAGATGTGGACAGAGTCCTTAAGTTGGAGCTTGGTCCTCTCTACGTCGGGCTTCCTCGCTTCTGCGAGACATATTTCGGACGTGTGGCCGGTCTTGAGACAGCCGCCGAGGCCGTCTTCAAGGAATGCAAGGGAGGCAGCAATCCGCTCTTCCATGAAGGCTGGAGCGGATGGCCAAAAGACGCAAACCAGGACGACGTCTTGAGCTGGTTTGCGGGCTTGTGCGAGAAGCTGGCGGCCTTTGCAGAACACCACGGGTCAAACCCGGCATGTCGACGGAGACCATTGGCACAACCCAACAAGCCAATCCGCGGTTCCACAGGGGAACGCAAATTGGACGTCGGCTTCGTGAACGACACCAAGGCCGACAAGGATTCTCAATGCCACTGGTCGCGGGTCCTCGTCCCCGGCGAGCTGAAAAGCAATCCATTGGCCGACACAGCGTCCAAGGCATGGCTTGATCTTGGGAGGTACGCGAGAGAGGTTCTCGCTGCTCAAGACACCCGTCGGTTCGTTTTAGGCTTCACTATTTGCGGATCTCTCATGAGGATATGGGAGTTTGACCGGCTGGGGGGGGTCGCATCCGAACAGTTCGACATCAACAAAGATGGACTGCAGTTTGTGTCCACGGTCCTCGGCTTTCTCTGGATGAACGAGGAGGAGCTTGGGTTCGATCCGACAATCATGACGGCAAACAACGAACGATTTATCGAGATCGAGCGGGACGGCTCAACAGAACGCCTCATCATTGATCGGGTGATGAAACGCGCACCTTGCATAGCTGGCCGGGCGACGACTTGCTGGAAAGCCCACCGCGAAGGACAACCCCAGTCACTACTTGTTATCAAGGATTCGTGGCAATATACGGAACGCGATGAGGAAGGCGAACTGTTACGCGAGGCGACTGGCAAAGGCGTCGTCAACATGGCCCGATACTATCACCACGAGACTGTTCGGGTTCACGGTAAGGATGACGACATTCGAAGCAACGTGCGGGGAGGGTTAGATGTTACCAGAGCTACGAACTACCGGTCGGAACGCTCGATGCCTCCACCGAGTACCACCATGTCTGGCGCTTCGCGGAAGGGCCGCAGCAACAGCATCGCTGGCAAGAAGCGGTCTTCGAGTCAAACTGGCGCCGCGCTGCCCCCCAGCAAGCGATCCTGTTCGGCATCTCCAACGAAGGCTAGCAGCAACGCCATGTCAAACCGGGTGCATCGACGTGTCATTCTTCAAGACTACGGAGAACCCATCTACAACGCGAGCTCCCGATCGGCTCTCCTTGCCGCACTAGAGGGTTGCATTGAAGGGCACGAATCCCTGCGCAAAGCCGGCTTCCTTCACAGAGACATCTCCATCAATAATCTCATGATCAACGAGGACGACGACAACATCTCATGGCGTTCGTTCTTGATCGACCTAGACCTCGCCGTCAGAGAACAACGTCAAAGCGCCTCCGGAGCGAAGGGCAAGACCGGCACGAGAGCATTCATGGCAATCGGGGCCCTTTTAGGCGAGCAGCATTCCTTCATGCACGATCTTGAGTCATTCTTTTGGGTCCTCTTCTGGATATGCATCCACTATGACCCAGATGCGAACAATTCCCGGAGCAGAAGCAAGGATTTGGCGGCCGACCCCGACGAGAACGCCATTTCGTCTCCGCTTAGCAGGGTTGTTCCTGAGTTTGACCAGTGGAATTACATCAGCATGCAATTGTTGGCGAAGGAGAAGAAGGGACAAGTATCTCATGAAGGGGACTTCATCAGATCCGCAGAAGAGAACTTCACTCCATACTACCAACCGTTGATACCTTGGGTCAACAAGTTGCGGAAAGTGGTATTCCCGAGTGGTGGGAGGTGGGAAAGAGAGGACATAGGATTGTATGTGAGGATGAAGGAGATCCTTGGAGAAGCCCAGAAGGACCCCAAAGTGTTGGCGGGAGACGGCCTCGCGGATTAGAGAAAAGCTTTGGACCTCGGCCTCCGGATCCCTTTCTCCCGCATCTTACCCCAGGGCCATCATCGACTGGGAGTTTGGCGGCTTCTGGCCCGAGTGGTTCGAGCGGCCTTTTGGGGGAGGTCAGGTGGAGGCGGATGACTCGCAGGCTGCGGTCGAGGCATGGTTCGACGCCAATGGCCGCCGACACGCTGTTTTTAGGCCCCGGTATCTTCTTTCCTAGATAAGACTAGCCAGGTACTGTACTGTACTGTACAGTATTTCTAGAACTTAGGTAGTCATCTTCCGGCATCTTGCTAGCGGGCCCCATTTTTGCGTACTGCCGGCCCCGTTTCGACCACAGGCCCGAAATCTGGGGCAGAATGCGCATGGGCGCTGCTTCGATCCCGCCCACGACCGCCTCCTCCCTTACAACGACTGCCATCCTCCTCGTCACACAACTCAATACTGGAGATACCCGCACAGTACAACCCCAACAAGCCGAGGCCCTCGGCCCGGGTTCCTGGGCTGCTGCCGTCGAACCCTTGGTCGAATTCCGGGTCCTCCGAGGGTTTCCTGGTCGATCGTCCTTCAGCTGGCCGATTCAACCTCCTCACCCTGGGTTGTCAACTCGATCTCCTGGCTCGCTGGGTCGACCCTCTTGTCTGACGGGTGATCGGAATCCTCGGGCGTCCAAGGCGTGGGGCCGAGCTTATCGGGGTCCTATGCCACACTAGAGCTGGAAGCGGTGGACAAGACACATCGAACCGGATGCTTGCTCCTCAGACTCATAGCATAGAAAGACGGAGAATCTACAATCGATCTAACCTTCGCCACTGAGGACGTGGCATCCCAGATGGGCGACGAGCATGTGTACGTCGCGGCAAAGGACGGACAGCTCTCCACCGAGTCCTCCAGCATGATCGCACAGCCCATACGCGACTTAGGGGTGGTTCCCCTTTCCTCCATCTGTCCTCGTCGTCTAGAGTTATCTGTTCTGGGCCTCGGAGTGGTTGAGATCATCGCCGTTACTCCGAGTCAGAGTCAGAGTCGGCCGTTGGGTAAAGGCCCCTCCCGAAGCCCATGTCCCCGCGCGCAGCCGCTGAAAGTGACAGCGGCCGGGGAGACCCTCCTCCCAGATCTGCACCGTGTCGCTATACCGGTCCGCGTCGACGACAATCCGGGCGGTCCTTGGGAGTACGCCAGAGAGGTAGTCGACGATATCTTTCATCTCCACGTGCTTCGTCTCCTCGGCCGCCCAAAACCTGCCTCTGCTATAGTGTGGCGGCAGGGCGACGACGCCGAGGACCGAAATGTTTTTCAAGGCGTCATCCCATATGTCGTACCGTGGCGAAATATTCGGAAAGTTGAGGTAGCAAAATGGAGCGCCAGTGAAGAGTATGAGCTTCCGCATTTTGGCTCTCGTCTCCGGATAGAACTTGGCGATGCCGTCCCCGGAATGGGCCGCCATAGCGCCATTCAAGAAGAACTGGAAGGTGTTTCCGGCGTACATAGCAATCTGCGCCTCTGCAGAGACCTGGCGGGAGACGAGAAGAAGGCCAGGAATGGCGCGCCGACGAGGATTGGTGAATCTTGGAGGGCATGCGGCGTCGGAAGCCCGGCAGCAGCTGTCAAGGCCGTGTACGACTTCTTTGTTGCTATCGTCGTAGTGCACAAAGTTCTCGAAGCGAGCGAACTCTCGTTCGACCGACTCACTCCCAATCAGGAGATTCTGAGGCACGCAGAGCCTGTAAATCTGCTGGCGAGTCTCGAGAGGCAAGGCCAGAAACTTGAAGCCAGCGCTTGTGGAGGGCATTGCGGAAGCTTCCATTGTCCGCAGGTAGGCGGGGGAGGCGACGTGAAGAAGGTGACGAAAGATGTGACGTCGCCCGAGCGAAGATTCAAGGCTCGTGAGGGTGGGGTGGGCACTCTGTTTGCAGAACGCACGGAAGGAGCCCGCTCGACGAGGCCGCCGCAAAGAGGAAGTCGTGCGAAGAGTTACGCGAGAAGAGATATCAACGACGCGCGAGGGAATAGAGAGGAGTGGAGTGGAGGTGGGTTGGAAAAGCCGACGCGGGGAGCGTGTCGCCGCCACGACTTCCGCCTTCTAATTGGTCTTTTGGTCCTGCGCGGCCCACTCGTGCAGCCCAATCGAAACGCCGACGACCTGACCAGGTTCTTCGATCGAAACCCTCACGTACTTCTCGACCACCGGCTCCGACAGTTCCTCACAATGACTTCGAACCACGCCCTCGGCCTGCTACTCTCCTCGACTCGGCTGTGCTTCAGCCAATGGAACGACTGCTGCGATCCCCGCTGACACTGACGCGACCCGCGGCATCCCACGTCTTCCGAGCCAGTCTTCCGGGCGCTCCAGGAATGACTTCAACGTTTTCCGGAGATGAGCAAACAGCTTCCCATAACAGTCCTCCTTGGCGGGAGACGGCCTGTGGCGTATTTTCCACATGGGCCATCCATACAGGGGATCACCTTGTGTTAATAACCTCTATCTATTTAACAATCAAAACGGGACTTACGGGTTGGGAGTGTCAAAGCCAATACGTGGGTGCCCAAAGAGCAAGAGCAGGCCACCCTCGCGGAATCATTGCTTCGCGATACGCATGGGTGGTGTGGCATCCTTGAAATACCATCGGTCTCGGTAATCGGCCCTCTCTGGCGTAAGTGTTACAGCGGTTCGAATATTCGTAGCTTCGTCGCAGGTTAGTTGTTCCGACGTCTCTTTTTCGAGCTTCAGCCATTCCTCCTTGTAAAGATAAGGCGCAGAGTTCTTCCCGGTCCAAGCCGCCAGGTCTTTCCTCGACGAGCGCTCGGTGTTTTGCTTGCGATCCTCCTGCAAACCTGACCATCATTCCCGGCCGGGAAGCCCGCCTACTGTATTATTCCACGGGGGATTTAGTCTAAATCCCCGGGTTCCACACGCCCCACATGTCCGACAGCATCCCTGCATATCGTGAAGTCTCTCTCATTCTCTTCATAGACATGTCATGTCCTACGAAACGTCTGTGCGCATTAGAGGTACGCGTCATTCCAACCCCCTTTTCGGCGGATTTAGTCTTAGTTCGTTACCCCAGATTTCCCTTCTTTTCCCAGTAACCCACGATCCACCGACAATCCACAATACCAACAGCAGCAGAACAGCCTGCAGTAATACGATGCGATGCGGAACCACGTACCGACCAACTCACCAACGACGCCGGAAGGCCACAAGGATCCCGACCCCGTTTTCACATACCTTCAGCTTTACGCCGATCCAACATACAATGTCCTGATCTGCCGCAGACCCGATTGTCGACACGCGATTTCCCCACATGGAGCCCAGGTCACCGCACACCTGTGGAATAAGCACAGTATCCCTCTAGCCGAGCGCTTAGGACTTCCAGAGCATATACGCGATCACTACTCTTCAGGCTTCCGCAATCCTACAGAGGCAGCTCTGCCGCCGTCTAGTTCCAGGCCCCATCCGCATCTCCTGACCTACGATGGCTTCAGCTGCCGCAAATGCGTCTTCTTGACAATAAGCTTCCATGAGCTTACGAGGCATATCTCGCAGAGCCACCTCGACGGGCAAACCGCGACCCGACCGCGGATTGGCCTACTCTACGACGATGTCTACCTACAGTCTTGGGGAGGCGGCCCGAATCGACGATATTGGACTGTAACCGATGCAGATGGGAAAACAGGTCGTCTAGTCCCTGGCCGCGTAGCAAAACAACCCCCCCCCCCCCCCCCCCCCCCGAGACGCCCGAACGACCTGTTTTCTCGGGGTACGATTCGACAAGGAAAGACCCAAACGATAGACGGACTGCTATCTCTCAGAGCAAGCCATGGCTAGACCGGACGGGATGGCAGCAGATCTTCGAGGGCGCCAACTGTGCAGTGCTGAAGGCCCTCACAGCTATACCCTGCAATCCACCCACAAGACTCCTTCACCTTGGAAGAGGACTATATCCTACAACCACTCCCTACATTAGTATTCGAGCAGACGAGATAAAGATATCCGGGCTCGTTACTATGGTCGACTGGGTACTTTTTCGCTGTGAGCAGACAGCCCGCGAAACTTCTCGTGCAGTCCTCTGCTGGTTCCGAAGCCTCCACCCAGACAAGATCTATCCCAAGCCATTTACACTAGTATCGGCAAGATCGAGCCGACAGAAGTATCTCAAGACCTTCCAGCGTTTCATCGCCTTCATCTTCCGTACCTACCGCCTACCAAGCTTCCAACGACAAGACCTTCTCCCCGTCCGATTTAATTCGGAGCAGCAGCAGCTACTTGGTACTATCTGGTCCCACGAAGCTTGGAACGAGGAACAGCTCCTTCGGTGGATCCTAGCTGGAAAGCCCGCTCGTCAGCTGCGGCCGACAGCTAAGGAAGAACGGCCTACTCCAACACCGAGTAATAGGGAACAGAAACAGTCCGTCTCAAAACCCTTAGCCAAACGTCTGTCGAGAAAACGCTCGTTTAACTCCTATCGGCAAGACACCAAGTCGGACTCCCAACGAGATACCACTAAGATAAGTCGGGACGACGAAGACGACGAGAACGACGAAGACGGCGAGAACGACGAAGACGGCGAGAACGACGAGGACGACGAGGACGATAATAAGAGCGGCCACTCCGACGAAGATGTCAGCGACTCGGAGCTCAGCGACGGACAAAGCGAGACAACAGACAAGGTCCAAGACGCAAGTACACTGCAGAATCAACTGATCGTCCTCAGCCCAGCACTGAGCCAGCTTCTCGAATTGCTATTCAAGCTGTGTATTACATTCTGTACCGAAGACTTCGCCGACGGCTATCCCGCTCAACCCATCTCGTGTACTTCAGTGGTATTCTTAGCATCAACCCAGACGGCAGAGGCTTTCGCACAGCAAAGCTTTATACACCATTCCTTTCAGCCTTGATCTACAACCAGCGACTTCTCTTCCTAGAATATGCCCTACCTCTTCGAGCATATGAGCATATCGGGATTCCCCGGCGACCGCGACATCGGCAATTCGAGCGGCTCGATAAGTCCACCCTCCGCCTCGCGACCAGGGCGCATCACGACTAGGGGTCGCGACGCGACGCGTTCAAACACCCCACTATACAATCTGCCATATAAACCTGTTTCCTCGCGTCTCTCTGCGACATAATTACGACCATTACAAACCCCAAAAATGAGGCTATCGTCATGGTGCCAAAAGACTACTAATTGCGCGCCCGCCGCGCACTGGACGACATCGAGGCTGGCGTACCTATTGCGACAGCTGCCAAACTACACGAAGTCGACAGATCCTACCTACGTCGTCGCCTCAAGGCCGTTCCAACCTTCAAGCAAAAATACCAAGTCCGACAAGCCCTCTCCGTCACCCAGGAAGACTATATGGTCTCCTGGGCCCTCGACCAAGCCAAGCTGGGCTATGCAGCACCATTGAAGCAATTCAAGCACTTCGCGATGCGGCTGCTGTCGATCGACGACCCCGCCGCACATCTTGGGCAGCACTGGTACCGTCCTTTCATCCACCAAAACCCAACCTTGACAACCTCGAGATCACGACTTATCGAATACAAACGGTACAACGGTGCCTGCAAGGCCAACATTGATATCTTCTTCGACCGGTTGACGTCATTGCAGCGCAGAAAGGTGCAGCCCGAGAATATCTGGAACGTGGACGAGTGCGGAGTGGCAGAAGGCCTAGGTCACAATGGCTTCGTGGTCAGTGATGCTCTGCGCAAGTTCACGTTGAAAAGGACGGCGCCAGGAGGACCTGGATCACGATAATCGAGGCCATTTCTGCCGGCGGTCGTTCCATCCCTCCATTGGTTATCTTCAAGGGCCAGTCCGTTCAACAGCAATGGTTTCCTGACGTCAAAATCGATCGATGGAAGCATTGGTGTTTTGAGACTTCACCAAACGGGTGGACCAGCAATGATATTGCGCTGAAATGGCTCAAGGAGTTGTTCATCCCCAACACGGTTCCTGCTATTCCTGGTCAGTGGCGATGCCTTCTCCTAGACGGCCATAAGTCGCACGCAACAGAGGAATTCATGGCGGAATGCTTCATCAACAAGATCTGGCTGATTTACCTCCCGGCTCATACCTCACATGTTCTTCAGCCACTTGACGTAGGCGTGTTCTCGGCGGTGAAGTCGGCCTACCGTACAGCGGTTACAGAGGTTGCTTACGACACCATGAACGAGACCCCAGGCAAGCGGGAGTTTCTTGAGGCATATGAAACTGCGCGCAAAAGCAAGATGAACAAGGAGAACATAATGGCCGGCTTCAGAGGCACGGGGGTGTGGCCACACAATAGGTCAAAAGCGTTGAGCTCCCGGTTCGTGATGTTGACCCCTGAGGAGTCCCAGTCGACATCTCAAGATGGCCCAAATCAGGCCCAAATGACGTCTACAGAGCCGGACTTTTTGACGCCCTTATGCGCAATTGACGTCAAAACGCCAAAAACAGGTCGCGATATCTATGCATTGCATCAGGTACTGATAAAATGCGATTCTGCGCTGGCGACAGCGACGTGCAGGAAGCTGTTCCAGAAGGTGGCGAAGGCAATCGAGACTTCGAACCTCCGATACACCACTGCAGAACACCAAAAAGACCGCCTGCAAGCTGCATTGGAGGCTTCAAAGCCTAACAAACGTCGCAAAGTCGACCCGGATCCCAACAAAGACTTCGTTACCGTTATACACGTCGAACGCGCGAAGAGACAGGTGCGGCGGGAGATGGGGTCGGACATCAGCACAGATAACAACACCGACAGTAGCGACGACGAGGTGGAGCTAATTGAAAGTGATAGTGATGA